CGGTAAGATTCATAAAGACATTTAAACATTTCTCTTGCTACTATCTTGCGATTCACCAATACAAAGAATAAAACTTAAAACATGTTATGTAGAATAAAAACTTGAAATTTATGCAAGAAGAGTTACAAAAACAAAAATTTCATGAGCTTGTAACCCTTTACCGGCTAAACTTTGACTCAAAGTTGAAAGCAATTAAACACCTTTTTAGGAAGTTAAACGGTAATTATGCCCTAATTAAACGTTAATCCATATTTTTCTCGAAAAATACAGAAAGTTGTCCTCTTCCTTCACCACCACTCCGAGTCAAAGGCATGCACCAAGAAAAAGACGAAGAAAAAGACGACTCAAAGCAGAGCATGAGTAAATCCATCAAACACAGCGGGGCCAGTTCAGTAATTTTGTACATCATATCGCCGTTTTTCGGTGTAAACGCTTGAAAAATCCAGCCGTTGGGCAATCCCGTTGCGGATAGAGAAATTGAGATTTCAGTTATGGTGTGCTGAAGAATCATTTGATTCCAAACACAACCCCAGATTCTTTACTATTTTCCAAACAGCCCCTGTAGAGCGCAGACCTTTTCCTCTCTGTTTCTCTATAGTTTCTTCTCTTCTCAGACACACTTCCCCTGTCTCCCCTTCCTATTTCTCTTACCTGGTAATTTCTCTCTCTCCTCCTATCTCTCTCTCTCTCTCTCTCTCTCTCTCTCTCTCTCTCTCTCTCTCTCTCTGGATAAGGCCATGTTTGGCGACAAGGATCGAGCGATTGGGAATCTTGCCGCCGATGAGGCGTCTCAGAGCAAGGTCACTCGCCATATCTCCAAGCAAAACAAACACAACCCAGAAGAGAAAATGGGATTCTCCGAAAAGGGGTTCGGATTTCTTAGAGAATCAGACATGGGTTCTGATGGGTTCCAATCAAAACCCTCAAAGATTGGAAATTTAGGTTCGCAGGAGTTGACTCTAAGCTACCTCTGCGACAGTTCCAAACTGGGTTTTCTCGAGAAGGAGTTACCCGGCGCAAATTTGCTGACTTCGTTGGAGAAAGAGAGTTTCAAAGGTAAAGGCATCATCGTATCTGAGAATTCTAACAAATGGGTAGAGAGAGATTTCCTTAATTTGAACGAAACCAGGTTGAATTGCTCGAAGCGAGAGCTTGAGGAGGAGGCGGAGAGAGAAAGCAGGGTCGACAAGAAGCCAAAGCTCGAGACTTTGAATCTCTCTCTAGCCTTGCCGGAGGTATCTCTCTCTCTCACCGCCTCAAACGCCTTGCAGAATGGCGATCATCCGGCGATGCTGCGGCCTAGTAGAAGCATACAGTCGTTGGCGCCGTCTGCTAACAACACACAGACCACTTGCTCCAATGATTTCACAGCAGCTTCATTGTCGTACTCTTATTCCCACCAATTTTCCCACAACCCCAGTTGCTCGCTTACCCGAAATTCGACGGATTTCGAGTATTCTGTTGGGAAAGATGATCAAATTTGGAACTGTGGGGAGGGGACTAATGGGTCTGTGCATAGCAGGTTTAAGCCGATTGGAGACGGAGTCGGTTTGTCGAATCACGGCGGCGGGATTTTGTCGATGATGCAGAGTAATCGTAAGGATTCTTGTAATAATAACAGTGTTTATAGGACAACTAGCTCTGAAAATCTTTCTTTTTTTCCATCTGAGTTGCCTGCTAAGCCGAAAATCGATACCCTTTCCGGGGATTCTAGAGGGAGAGGTTCTGAAAGTTTGAGAGGATTGGAGGGTGTGGATGGTGGTGGGAGAGCCAGGAAACTCTCGAGACCGGAGAGAATTCTCCGCGAAATTGTTTCGGAGTCTGTAACTGGCATGGCTCAGATAGTTCAAGAGCTTCCCGAAGAAATGCTCTTATCAACTAAAGAATACTTGAAGAATCTGACATCTGCGCCAGAGAAGAAGGAAGAATTGGCGAGCCTTCAAAACCGGCTTCAGAGAAGGTCTGATCTTACAAAGGAGAATCTCTCTAAATGTCAGAAGGATCAATTGGAGATTTTGGTTGCTGTGAAAATGGGACTTGGGAACTTCGTATCTGGGAAAAACCGCCTTCCAGCAACCGAGCTGGTGGAGATTTTTTCGTTTATGAGGTGTAAGAATGTGAATTGCAAGAGTTTATTGCCCGTTGATGATTGTGACTGCAAGATTTGCTCTGCAAATAAGGGGTTTTGTAGTTCCTGTATGTGTCCTGTATGTTTGAATTTCGACTGTGCCAATAATACTTGTAGTTGGGTTGGCTGCGATGTTTGCTCGCATTGGTGCCACGCTGCTTGTGGTATTCAGAGGAATCTCATTAAACCGGGTCCTAGCTTGAAGGGTCCCTCTGGGACAACTGAGATGCAATTTCATTGCATTGGATGCGGCCATGCTTCGGAAATGTTTGGTTTTGTTAAGGATGTGTTTCTGTGCTGTGCAAAGGACTGGGGACTAGAGACCCTTATCAAGGAGCTTGACTGTGTTAAGAAGATTTTTAGGAGAAGCGATGATTTTAAAGGCCGGGAACTGCATATTAAGGCTGAGGAGATTATTTCCAAGCTTGGAAGCCAGTTGATGTCTCCTTCAGATGCCTGCAATTTCATTATTCAGTTCTTTAATTGTAAGTCAACCCTCTTCGGTTTTCTATTTCAACTTAAACGTTTGTTCTTTTACTTGATATTGTGCCAAAAAGCATAAAGGTAAATGAAAAATTCTACGAATTGCCATTAGGGGAGCCACTACTTATGGGACGAAATGTCGGCCATTAATGTGAAAACAAGAGCAAAGTATTAATGTAGCGAAATGAGATGTTAAGGTAGATGATGAGAGTGTCTTGGAAAAAAAAACATAACTAGCAATCTTTGAATTAGAAACACGAGACCCTTATGCTATTTTGTTGCTCCAAACTACTTTTATTTCTTCACACGTTGAATATAAAATCATAGGGATGTTAATTGTACCTCATCTAAGCTCGCCGTATTCTACTTTAGCATAATGTTCTTTTACAAATTAGAGAACAGTCACTGAATGTCTCAAGGACGTTGATTGATTACCCTATGGCATGTATTGGAGGCTAGGGTAATTGGAACTATGTTGAATGGAATACTCTGAATTGCTTACTTGAGGCTACTGGTTGTATGCACATTAGCTACGATGGGGATCATATTCCTGTGGCTGTTAAATAGCATTTTAATCTCTGTAGCTTACCCTTTTGTTGTTTTGGCCTTTTTTTTTTCTTTTCGTTTCACTGTTGATAGGTTAAATCTCCTCTATAGCTTGAGTTTGAATGTTATACTCGTTCTAAATGTTTCTTTTCTTTTCTGTTTATGCTTAACTCTGGATTTGACTTTCCTTTTGAAATAGATACAGATGGAGTATCAGAATATCCTGCTTCTACCATATCCACAAAAGAGTTGAGTGCCTCTCAATCCAGCCTGAGAAAAGATTTGACCCCCTTTTCACAATCCGTTTCTGCACCTCCGAAATATGCTGTTTACAACACAAGTTCTAGTATGCAACGAGATTCACTGTCCAACGATACGCGTCAGAAATCATCCCACATAAGCAATGAGGATGAGTTCCAGTTTGGGACCTTACCAAAAATAGACGGGTTTGAGAGCTTGGAAAGCTTAGTGAGGATAAAGGAAGCGGAAGCTAGAATGTTCCAGGACAAGGCTGATGAAGCGCGGAGAGAGGCAGAAGGGTACCGTCAGATGATACAAACAAAGACGGAGAAGCTGGAGGAAGAGTATGCCGGAAAGTTTTCCAAATTGTGTCTGAAAGAGACGGAGGAAAAGCGAAGGAAGAAACTGGAGGAGCTGAAAATTTTGGAAAGTTCGCATTGTGATTACTACAAGATGAAAACTCGAATGCAAGGCGAGATTGCTGGCTTGTTGGAGAGAATGGAAGCAACAAAGCAGCAACGGGTCTAGTTTCTTTTCTCCTTTCATTTTTTTTTTTTTAACAATGGTGCTAACTATGTTTAGTATATTAATTAGTTTTATTTCAATTTTGGATTCTGCTTGTTATTTTTATCAAAGTGAAAGATTGCTTCTCAGTTGTGGAATTCCAAATTTGTTCTTCTAATGATTATATAGCTAGTGCTGGAATCGTTCTCTATGTGCCCCCCCTGAACAGCAATGTTTGAGCTGAGCAATGCCGAACACGTGTCCTCCCCCTTTGTCACAACAACAAAAAATTCTTGTGTCCATCTAGAAAATTAAGTCATCATTCGTAAGCGAGACCTCTTGTACTATTGTCCACTATGAAACTGTGTGTGTGGATGTACGAATGAAGTAGTCCTTTAGTGAACACAAGAATTTCTCCAGAATGTCTTGCAGTAGAAGATGTGTTTTTGCATTGTTTATGTAAGGTTGTCCACACGTATGGGTGCCATAATGCGCCACCAAGACCATGGTCTCTTGTTCATAGTCATAGATACGATATCCTCCTACAAAGTAAAAGGACGACGCTGATTGTGGCTACAAGGATGTTGTACCATTGGTCCCGCCACTTCCACCATTGTTAAAACTAATAATGCGTGGGTGCAAAACCACCTCCGTATTGAGATATGTTCCGAATCACTACATATAGAGTACACAGATTGAGAGATTTGGACCATTCAATTTCAATTTTACTGTCCTATTAGCTCATCTTACTGACACACTTCACAAAAATCCAAAAATTTGAATCGCTCGAATCTCTTTCTCTCTCTCTTAAGTGGTTCGGATCCATTTGTGCGCGTGCTACGGACACAGTGGATCTCATTCCAAACATCATCATTACTTTGTGATATCGTATTTTGTTTTTTATTTTGTGGGAGCCGTCCAAACACAATCTCAAACATAAAAGCAAATACTGTCAATCAATTGAATTACAAACATCTGACTTTGTGATTGTAGATTTGCACTATACAATATACAATATTTAAAAATAATGAGAAAATTATGCTAAAGTAAAATGACACTAATGACGCTGATCTACTTTCAATTTTTCCTAATAAATCGTCTACACTTTGACAGATACAAAGTAAGATGACAATAAACTTACTTGAATGTTCATCTTTTGCTTTATTAATTTAAGTATACAAATAGCCATCCAGCTCAACAAATTTTTTACGGAAGTAGAAATGTATTAATACTTAGCACTACAACCTACTGATATTAATTCTCTCGTTCTACGCGTAAATATAATGCTCTATCAAAACAACAGCAAAAATAATTCGTCTCAAAACAAAAATTTAATAAGAAAAATATACTAAGGTAAAGATGACTGGTTGGTATTAGTTAATAAAGCCGAGGGAGGAGGACGGTGAGGCTGACGGTGGCTGCGAAGAGAAAGAGCAAAAGACCAGTGAAGTTGACTATAAGAACTTCTTGATTAATTTTTACTACGGCCAAGAAAAAGAACCTCTCCATTAACCCTGTCTCAGCCGTGCACACTGCTAGAAGAAATATCACCATCCCAAAAAATGTGTGCCATGGCATAAAATTTCCCCTCGACGACATGTCTCCACCCGGAAACACATAGAACACGAAGCCAAACAAGTACTGAAAAACAAGAAACAATATAATTGTATGGTCATTTAGTCAAGAGTTTCTGTTTGCAAAAGCGACATGACGTATAAGGTGGTGACGTATTTTAGCTCTTGTAAAGTGTTAGTATTACCTGAATACCAAATAAAGAGATGGTTGTTATGCCGAGCCAGGAGTGTAAGGTAAGAAAATGTGGAACTCTGGATTCGTGATTAAACTGGATAGCACAGTAAAACCCAAAAATTATAGCCGCCAGAGCTAGAAGATGCAATATCACGTGCACCCCTTTTTGTGTGTTCCTTGTCCCTTGGACTGTCTTGTATGCCATGATTGCTGCACCAATAAAATGCCACCCCATCAGATCAGTCCTTAATATTCTAGGGATATTTAACAATGCTTTTGATACAGACGATAGTCAAATTTAAGCTAATATGTACTGCAAAGACAAGGATTCAATTTAGGTGCACAAGGAGCACATTCGTTTTAGCAAGGTTATAAACACAATTTTTTGACCTAGTGAGTTCCAATATAATTACCTTCTCCACCGATCAAAATAAACCCGACCACCATTAGAAACGTATGAACCTGTGAAAAATGAGAGGAAGAATATGATGAAATAAAGGATATGATCATATAAACTTCAGTTATAATATGCGCATATGCAAGATTTAAACAATTACGTAACGTTTACATTCAAAATTTTCTCTTCGATGCCGGATTCGAGAGCGAAGCCACCGCGGAACTTTAGGGTCCAAACAAGAACCAGGGTTGTTATGGCCATAGCTAGCAAATGCCCAAATAATGTAGCTGGGGTTGCTGAAATTTGGTAGCTACGACTCTTAGGTGCCATTGTTGTAACTTGTAAGTGTTACCCTCTCCAGAGCTACAAGCTTTACTAGGACTGTATTTAAAACACACCAAGAGAAACAGTGTTGATTAGAAAAGAATGGAAATTTTGATGAAATTAATGTAAGGATTAGAGTTTTATTTGCCCAAAGTAAACAATGTTTGAATGAGAATTCGAAGTATCGATGCCGCCCAGTACGTGGAATATGGAAAACCGTCTAGCCGGCTGATCTTTAGGTGTCAAGGCCAAAAACTTGGAATATGTTTTTTGCATTCTGTTTCTGTGTGTCCCATATGGCTAAGTCAAGTCGTCGGCAGTAAATAGTCTTTTAAGTCGAATGAATTTTTATAGAAATTATCTTTAGATTATCATAAGAGGTCGCACTTAGTGCGATGGCAAGTGTCTTCGCCCATGAGCGGTAGGTCTCGGGTTCGAGACTTGGGAGCAGCCTCTTCATAAATGGGGGTAAGGCTAGCCGACATTCACCTCTTCCAGACCCTGAGTAAAGCGGGAGCCTTGTGCACTGGGTACAACCTTTATCTTTAGATTATCATAAAGAGAATGAATGGTTCCGACATTCACCTCTTCCAGACCCTGAGTAAAGCGGGAGCCTTGTGCACTGGGTACAACATTTATCTTTAGATTATCATAAAGAAAATGAATGGTTCCGATTATGACGTTTGCACAGTAAAATATCGTGTACACCATCATTGAAGATGCGAACTATTAGAGAGTGATGCTATATGTTTTTCATATAGTGCAAAAGTACAAGAAAATTGTATTTGAAAAGATATTAGGGACTGATATACAAACTCAACTGATTAAGGAATCAACACAACATTATCTGATCATTAGTGCAAAAATAATGAATTCATATCGTAATCAATATATTGGTCTCCCATATGAACCCTCCCTCATACATAAATTCGCTCAAATATGAATCACACCAAAAGAAAAAAAAAGATTATACATATGAAATCAACATTATATATAACACCAAACCAATGTCTTCAACTGAATAGACCAGCTGAAAAGAAAAGAAAAGGACTGAAATTAAATTAAGAAACTATACATATCACACATAACGGGCAAGGGCGACAGAAAGATCGACGAAGATGCCAAAGAGGAGGATTGCTAGTGCAGTGAAATTGATCAAGTGCGATTCTCTGTCTCCCAGCGCTTTCGAAAGTCCAAGGAATGTGAATTTCTGCATCAACCCAGTTAGGGCAGCACATATCGACAAGTATAGAATTGTCCTGCCCATACTCATATGCCATGGAATTAATCTCAACCTCGACTCTGCCGTACCTCCTGGAAACAAGAAAGCAGCAGCTCCAACCAGCCACTGGATGCAAATCAAACCATTCATGTGCTTAATTAAGTAATTAAGGAATATAATTAACTAATTAACGAAGTTATGTTAATTTATTAGTACGTACGTACCTGCAAACCGTACAAGATAAAGGTGCCCAAGCCAATCCATGAATGCAGGGTATACATGTCATCTATCTGCCTCATGTCATGGTATCTAAAAGCAGCGCATATCCCAAATATTCCGGTACATAGAGCTATCAGGTGTAACAAGGCGTGCATATACTTCTGCCCCTGGTGTTCTGACATTACGGTCTTGTATGCCATCATCGCTGGTATATCGCATACACGCAATAATAATTTTTCGTTTGGATATTAATATTTAAATGTATGTACCTATATTTAGCCTACATAGATAGAGAAATTGAAACCCTAGTACGCTACTACTTACGTACCTTCACCAGCAAAGAAAATAAAACCGAAGAACATAAGAAACGGATGAACCTGCCAAATAAAAAAAAATGACTTAAATTTTAATTTGAGCCACGATTAAGAAAGAAAATAGTATTATTTATGAAGGTTAATGATCACTTACGTTGAAAACTCGATCTGAATTGTCAGAATCATAATCGATGCCACCACGGTAATGCAGGAGCCAAACAAGCATAAGTATGATTGCTAAGATGCCAAACAAGTGTGCACCTACTGTCAACCTAGAGGCTGATCGTTTGTACCTATAGTTTACAACAGTAGTATGCATTGCGATTAAGTGATTAGACGACAGATGATGGCGAAGTGAATTAATCTGGGGAATTAAGGATGGGGATTGGTGGGTTAATATCTTAAATTTGGTTCCTTTAATTTTGATGTGGGAGCGTTCTGCTGAATGAGTTCTTATATATATGTATCTTTGTAAGAGTTGGTGATAAAAAATGCCCATGCACTGTTCTTGGGATTGCTTGCTGTGTTGGTTTTGGGATTCTCTTCTGGGGAAACTTCGAACTTTAGCAAAGCATCACAAGGACAAAATAGAACCAGCTCTAATTGTACTAAGGTATTTATTCTGCCTACAACTATAAGAAAAAGAAAAAGCTAAAGCATCACAAGTTCACATTGACGATTAATCCAAGTATATATCCGATCTCTTAATGTTATACTTTGTGGAGGTGTCCTAGCTATCTAGCTGTTTGAGCATCACCCATTGAGGAAATCTTTTTTTTTTTTTTCAAAGAAAAAAAGAAAAAGAACAATGTGGTAGCAGATTAGTCTGAAAAAGGTAAAAGTTCAAGCAAAAAATAAAAGGAAAACTAATGAAAAGGGCTTGAAAACTTTGAGTTTTAATGATAAGGACAAAATAAAGGGTAAAGTGAATAGTACCATGATTGACTTTTTAATGTAAAAATGTGGTTTTTCGTTAAAGTGAACAGTACCGGGTGCTTTTCGTTAAAATTCCCAAAAATAAATCCATTCAAGGTAATATTATATGTAATATTACTCATGAACAATTATTTAGTGTCTCAAAAATATGATCATGTGATGTTATTATTTCTGTAAATTTATAACACCTGTATTTGGTTATTGTTAATATATTTTAGAAGTATAACATATCAATCATATTATTGTTAATTCTTATTATAATACGTACAATAGTTTACCACATAACTGGTATTCTCTTAACTTTTGTTACTCATGGCACATGCCACACGCGCTTCCAAAATGTGAAAGATTTATCTACTTTTTAGAACAGATAAATGAACCAAATGGTCAGATATTTAATTCTCCATTAGTATTATTTTGTTTTGATTTATCAGTATATAGCTTAATCAGAATTCAATTAATGTTACAATAATTGGGAAAAGCGTGACCTTTATAAAAACATAAGCAAGAAAAAGATATAAAAGAAAACAAAACCAGACAGAAGCTAAAGGAAGATGCTGGTTAATTTAATACTATTGCTAAAGCATAAAGCAAAAGAGAAGATTAAGGTTATGTGGAGAAACCTCAAACAGCTTTACAGTATTGGCGAAAAGCATCATACCATCTAAAGGCACAACAAAAATGGATTAACATAACTGGAGAAAATACATCAGTAAACCTTCAGTACTTCATAGTTCATATCACCATGATGATATAGAGAGCTGATTAAATTAATATAAATTAAACTGACATATTTACCAGAACAACTTTCTTATATCCCCCAGTATCGGTGTCCCTGTACAGGAAAGCAGAGTACTGCATGGCGACATAATTATCTTTATGTTTATTAATTGATTTGCTCTGAAAATGTCATTGGGTTTCACTTTATCCATTGAAAATGATTTTATCTCATTTTACCCCATCAAACTGCCGTTTTCGTTTCATTTAGTTTTTGTTCACCAATTTTTCATCTATTTCGGCAAAAAAGACAGACTGGGTTTGGATAAGACTTTACCAAAATGGAATTGTGATTGTTTTAGCAAGCAAGTTGGAGGCAAGGAGTTGTGTGAAAAGTAAATATCCATACTATCCTTTAATTTAACGTCTTTTTTTACGGAATGAACGAAAATGGGGTGAACCGAAACTAAATGAGTAAAAAATGACAATTTTAGAAAGCAAAGCAAGACAAAATCAATTATATGAGATAAAAATGAAACTAAATTGCAGTTTCAAAGGACAAAATCAATCAATAGGACTTATCTTTATATACATATTTTGATTGTATGAGCAATATCGGTTCAGTGAAGTTCTTAGCTGCACTTGAGAGCTCCATGGGTGGTTATCTTAGCTGCACTTGAGAGCTCCAAAAGCTTGGTTCTTACAATTAGGTTAGCTGGCCCATTTGTCTGAACTGGATTAGGATTTGAAGGCCCAACCTTTTAGTTATTACTGTCCATCAGATAGAACACAGGGCCGCCCAGTTATAGGCTATGGGATTGGAGGAATCAGGAATATGCCAAAAGGAGGAAGAACATTTCCTTAATCACACACAAATATATAAACTTGAATTGGATCGTTGACTAGTTATATGCAAAAAAATTAACCAAAATAAGTGTGAACCAATCCCTTTCTGATGGATTGGCCACACAATAAAAAGTTTGGAGAGACATTTTTCGAGAACAATACTTGGCTACTCAAAGTTGAGTAGGAATTCATACTTAAAACTCTTCGTGTTCAAATTACAAAGTTCTGTTCTTATGATTATAATCGTTCATATATGAATCACTCTGTAAAGATAATCTCTGCAAAAAATAAATTAAAAATATGGTCATTTAGTCTACCTATTGTAGGAAATACATAAAGAGTTTGTACTACTTTTATCAAATTCATTCATTTGTTTTAAAACAATTCGATAATTAAATGATCTTAGTTTTAATTTATTTTTTACAAATGCAATCTTTATAAAGTTATTTATTATGAACAACTCTAATTATAAACACGAAATTTTATAAAACGACAACAAACAATTTTGAATATGAACTTCTACTCATCTTTTGAATATTCTAAGTCTTATTCTTTCCATAATTCTCTCCCTTGGACCCTCCTACAAAAGGCAACAAGGTTGTAATACTACCACTACTACTAGTGACTATGTTCATGAGCTTGCATGCACTTGAATTGCACACTTAGGACCACGCTTCAAAGTGATTACTTTTTCAATCCCAAGTTGCTAAATACTTGCTAGCCATAACACGGATTTTATAAACGGACACATACTCATACCATGATTCAGAATCTCTAGTCAATGAAACAATAGCTAAGAATCCCGAATTATAACATGAGCCCAGTTCATTCTATAATTTACGGCAACAACTACACCAATCCAATACATGTAGACTACTTTTACAAATTATTCCCACCGTCATGGCTATGATGAACCAAACACTAGTCGTGTAGCTAGGGTTATGGAGGAAGGATGATGAATCTGAGGAATGGGAAAAAGACAATGGATTTGCTATCATTGATGCAAGCATTTCGTACCACTTAAATGTTTTTGATTGTTCTTAATCATGACTAATACTCGTGATCATTATTTTTTAAATTTATTTTTTGGATTAATTAGCATTCATAATATACAGATATATAATCATCACGGAGTCCTAGTGGTTGTCAGATAAGCATTCTTTTCCGAGCTTGCTTTTTCTCAGCATAACTACTCGATGGAGACATATGCTTCCTTCCAGTTCCATCACGCTTTCAACACTTACTTCATTTCATTTCTTTTTTCTTATGATTTTATTTCCATTTTTTAATCTTCTTGAAATATGCTTTCTTACTGGAAAATTTAGTTTTCTTAACCAACATATTAATTAGTTTAGTAATATACTATGAGAAATGCTAAAGGGACAATCTCAAAGTAAGACTTGTCATGAACTCTGTAATCTTACAGTTTAACGTCAATTTACGTGCTAACATTATAAAATATTATGTAAAAAACATAAGGTAACAGATGAAGAGTTTCATTTTTTAGAAAGTCTCCTTAACATTACTCTTATACTATTGACTGGGAACAGGAATGTTGAGCTGCTGGACAACCTTGTGTTGCACGTAACGTTTTGATATCTTATATATTGATTCTTAACTGCTTTTGCATCTTTTTACGCTATTTTCAAAAAAAAAAGTTTAGTGTGACGCAAGTGGATGCAGCAAGTAAAAGGAAATCAAGCTGTATCCAATTTCTCAATGTCTCGATCGGCTATGATTTAGTTGCTAGTTTCATGCAGCAAGAGCAAAAGTATACTCAACAATATTTATATTCCTTTTCGGTGTAAATTAAAAAGTGGGCATTATTATTTTAATTTTCCAATGCATGAAATATAGGGTTTGTTTAGGAAGTGTTTTTTAATTGATGAAAGCGTTTTTAGTGAAAATATTTTTTGAACTAATTTTTTAATAAAAATGCAAGTAAATTTCTTGCAATAAGCACCTAAGAAGCACTTAAGTGCTTTTAAAATCCAAAATCATTTATCTAAAAGTACTTTCAGTTATTTACAAGTATTTCCTAAACGAGCCCATACTTATTATATAAAAAAAATTCCAATGGAAACTTTAAGGAATGAGGAAGCTGAAATCCTGAGAAAAAAAAACTTCAAATTTAGTGATTGATATAAATCTTAGTACCCTAAAGGTGGTTTATGTAATATAATGTCTTTTTTGTCCTAAACTTTCTAGGAGTACAAATAGAAAATAAATTACACAAATAACGAAATATCAAAACATTCTAAAAACTTAGAATGGTAATAAAACATAGTAAACGATAGATTTCGGTTGAAAAAAAACTCTCATATGTAATAATAAAGCACTGTGTTAGACTCGTGATACCATTTTCTTTGAAACTATGAGTTGCGGCAGGCCGGGCTCAAATCATACCAAAGCACAAGTTTGCAAACCATTCTTCTTGCTGTCAAATTTGCATTTTTTAATTTGATCTATTCTGCCATTTGATTAACATCATATACATAGACATTTTGGTTCATACAAAAAATTTAGATGCATGACAATAACACAAGGGATGGATCAAGTTAACATGATAGTGGCATGTATTTCTTGTGAATGTCTTTTGTAAATACGTACATCGACTAGTAGGCAAAGGAACATCTTTGGCCCGTATATATATCTATCATATCAGATGTGCACTGATTAAAAGGCAGGCCAAAGTTGAGTGGCCATGGATGATACTGATCTTGTTTCTAAATATCCATTCTTACAGTTGTCCAAGAAAAAGACTTGCTAATCAAGAGATATCAAGTAAATTATAACTCATAATTTAGACAAATTCCTATCAACTAAATTTTCTACCTGTGATATCTATATATATTCATAACTTGATTTATTTATTTTTAACTTAATATGTAAGTCAACATCAAACGATTATTCAACTAATATTTGCAGTTCAAATCACAA